TTTTCAGGGTTTTAAGGAATTTAATCAGGGCTAAAAGGGGGGAAATGCAGTTAACCCTGTCTACATGGGTTCGTGTGCTGACAGGGCTAACAACTTCTGATTTTAAAAAATGTGGGCACCTTGACTGCTCCAGGCAAGTCAGTGGACAGAGGTAGAAGCAAAAGTTGTAGCAGCAGCTGGAATGCCAGGAGAAATGAGATGAAGACATTGAACTGCCCTGAGACCTCCGAGTATGAGGCGGTATATAAATTCAATAATCTTTTTATTTATTTTAAAAATTGAACACTGCCACCCACTCCTGCCTCCCTTTTGCCTCTACGCTGAGTAGAACAGAGTTGGGGAGACATTCTGGAGATATTGAGTTTTATTGTTTATTGCACTCAAATTATTTTTTTCTGTGAGTTTAGTATAATTGGCTTGTGATTCTTAATTAGTACTCTTGCTGTGTACTAACCCTTGGATTTTGTGAAGCATTTAACTGCTCTAAGCTGCTTTGGGAACCAATCTTGGTTGAGCGGGATATAAATATACTAACAGTGCAGTTGCTAATCATGTTTGCTCGGAAGTAAGCCCTACTGTGTTAAATGGGACTTGATCGCCAGGTAAGTGTGTATAGGAGTGAATAATAAAGCTTTTCATTTGTTCCTGTGTCTAGTGATGGAAGTCACGATGTGTGGCTGCTGCTCATGTACCTACATTCTAGAAAACTACATCTCTGGGTTGTGCTGTTACCCTCTTCATCCATGTTGTCTGAGAATCTCTAGGTTATCAAAAAAGCAGCCACTGAAGTTGGAGCAATATTCCCAGCCGTGCTTTGCTGATTTGGATGTACAGTAATGCCAAGTCACAGCTTGCCCAAATTATGGTCTTATAGCATAATTTCGGATCTGGGTTTGCGAACAATGTTTGTTAGATGATGGTGGCCTGGACATCACAATAAACCATGGACTGAAGTTTATGTCTGAGCTTATGAGTTTATGGGAAGGCCCATAAGTGTCAATACCACTTTGTTCTGCTTGTGCTACCTTTTTCTTTTAGACTACTGTTTTATTCTGATTACTGCAGTGTTTCCCAACCGGTGTTCCGCGGCACACTAGTGTGCCGTGAGACGTTGCCTAGTGTGCCGTGGGAGGGAGGCGGGCGAGTCGGGCGGCGAGAGGCGGGGCGGCGGCGGCGAGCACACGCGGGGCAGCGAGCGAGCGAGCTCCCACATCCCATCGCCGCGAATGCAGGCTTTCGCTGAAGCCTGGAGAGCGAGAGGGGTCGGTGCGCACCGACCCCTCTTGCTCTCCAGGCTTAAGGAAGCTATCCCCCCAGCCGCGCAAGCTCCCAGAGCGATGCCAAAGCTGCGAGCACCTTCGCCATCGCTCTCCGACCCGTTCGGGGGGCTGGGGACGGGAGAAGCTCCGGCTTCCCCCGCCCCCAGCCCGCGCAAGGTCCCAGAGCGATGCGGAAGGTGCGCTCACCTTCGCCATCGCTCTCCAACCTGCTCTGGGGGCTGGGGACGGGAGAAGCTCCGGCTTCCCCCGCCCCCAGCCCGCGCAAGGTCCCAGAGCGATGCGGAAGGTGCGCTCACCTTCGCCATCGCTCTCCGACCTGCTCTGGGGGCTGGGGACGGGAGAAGCTCCGGCTTCCCCCGCCCCCAGCCCGCGCAAGGTCCCAGAGCGATGGCGAAGGTGCGCGCACCTTCGCCATCGCTCTCCGACCTGCTCTGGGGGCTGGGGACGGGAGAAGCTCCGGCTTCCCCCGCCCCCAGCCCGCGCAAGGTCCCAGAGCGATGCGGAAGGTGCGCTCACCTTCGCCATCGCTCTCCGACCTGCTCTGCGGGCTGGGGACGGGAGAAGCTCCGGCTTCCCCCGCCCCCAGCCCGCGCAAGGTCCCAGAGCGATGCGGAAGGTGCGCTCACCTTCGCCATCGCTCTCCGACCTGCTCTGCGGGCTGGGGACGGGAGAAGCTCCGGCTTCCCCCGCCCCCAGCCCGCGCAAGGTCCCAGAGCGATGGCGAAGGTGCGCGCACCTTCGCCATCGCTCTTCGACCTGCTCTGGGGGCTGGGGACGGGAGAAGCTCCGGCTTCCCCCGCCCCCAGCCCGCGCAAGGTCCCAGAGCGATGGCGAAGGTGCGCACACCTTCGCCATCGCTCTCTGACCTGCTCTGGCGGCTGGGGGCGGGGGAAGCTCGGGCTTCCACCACCCCCAGCTCCTGCAAGCTCCGGGAGCAATG